AACGAAAACAATTTCGGTTTTTATTTGTTCTTTCTTTTTCTCCGTGTCTCTCTCTCTCTCCCCCTTTCCACACCACAGTCGCCAATTTCCATTCTTGCGCAACTTTTTGATGTTTCCTAACTTTTAGTTGGCCTACGAACAAAACCCAGGCCGATCTGCAAATGATTTTTTTTTAAAAACCCACTATAATACGCTTCAAGATCTTCCACCGGGGTCCTCTGTACAACTGCCAGGACTTTGCGCAAAAGTGCTGAGGAAGCCGCACACTAATCAATCGTGGTCTGATCGAGGCATGGAAATACACTTTGGCAAACCCAGGATAACAAAAGGAGCACGGGTTCAAGAGATGAAAAGAAATCAAAGAGGGATCGAAGGTGAATTGGACCCCAAAGCGAAAGAGCTAGATGAACTTGCAAACTGAGCTGCAATCAAATTGGATCTAGAAAGTCGTCATTAGAAGCTTTCACACGGGAACATCTGACGGGGTCTGGTTTTCTTAAACTGTGCGGTGACAGAACGCCTCTTCTTCCTTCTCATGCTGTGTTATGTGTCTGAAATGCCTCCTTGAAGGCCCAGCCTGGGTTCTCATCTGCTACCAGGAGTTGAAGGCCCTGGTTCTGTTCCACCAAAATCAGATTAGTGAACCAAGATACAGTTCAGCTCTAACCAGACTTGATTTTGCATCTCTGTCAAAGATCTTCCAAAGACGTGAAAGTCAAAGGTTCCCTCTCCAGGAGTTTAGCACGGAGAAAGACCACTATGATGGAGGACAGATCTTGTCCAGGGGTTTTCCGCTGGCCATGAATAATCTAAATTAAATGGCCCAGTGGAGGACCTGAAAAGGATCCAATTCCTTCTCCAGGTGACCTGTTCACCCAATGGTCTTTCTGGTGGGAAGGCGCTCCCTTCACCGACAAAAGCCCAACAGGTCTGAATGAGGGAAAAGGTGCTTGAAACATTATAGAATATTTTAACAGCTGCTTGGGTAAAACTCTTCATAAGCAAATAAGAGCCTATTTCCAAAAATTAATGAAAAAAGGTTATTGCTTTCCCCCCCCACCTCCTAATTCATCCTAAAGGGTGAAAACTGTCGTGCCTAAGAGAAAATAAATTTCTGTAATTCCCAAAATAGATCTGGTCAGGCACTCCATACAGCCAGTTGTATTTTATAGACAGGATACATCTCATTCAAGGAAGAATGTGGTTCTTAATTGAACAAGCCGAAGGGATGAGTTATTTTCAATGTGTGCCATTGATGTTTCCCCCTAAAAAACCATGGAAATAGAAGCATTTACTAGGATGCGGTGAGTTTTGTTTACATCCCAAGGCCCAAACCAAAATATACAGCCAGGGTCACTTTTCACTATTCTAAAAAAACCTCTCAAATTATGCTTTAGTTTAGTCTGACATCTGGAGGCTTCTAGCGAAATGAGAAAGCAGCAAATCATGTCTTGGGTTTTAATGACACGTGATTAAATCGCTTAAAAATGTGTGTCCCGTCGTCTTCCAGACAGACAGATAGACCTACGAGTCTATCGTAAAGTTCAGGTCTAAATTCCATTTAATTTCATACTAATTTAATGCTACCCTGCACGTCTCTCTTCAGACATCAACTTTTGAAAGCACTTCGATGTTCTTAAGATGAAGCTCCAGAGATGAAGGGGACTTATTCTGTCAGGAACTCTAAACATGAGCAATGCTGAGAAGATTGGACTAAGAGGTCCTTCCTCACCAGAACTGGGCACAAAACTAGCTTGGGTTTGCAGTGTTGTTTACACCGTGGATCAGAAGAAGGACCAAACCACAGGCCCACTTTCCTAGCTCAACATCTAAGAGACCTTTTGTTTTCTCATTCCAGAACCAAGAGGGAATGTCATCCAACGATGGTTGAGACCTTCTCAATAAGCCAGGAAGGAACAATCATACTCTCTGATGGCTTAAAGAAGGGGTCTCCAATCTTGGCAACTTTAAAACTGGTGGGCTTCAACTCCCAGAATTCGTAGCCAGCATGTCCACAAGTCTTAAAGTGGCTGAGTTTGGAGACCCCTGCCCTAAAGGAAGTATCTTTTTTGGGGGGGGGAACCACAACATCATTGCTCGTTTGAGTCGCCTGCAGATGAAGGATGGGATGAAAAAAAAAATAAAAAAGTCAAGATGGCCGCTGTGTGACCGAAGCCCCTCCCCTTTTAAGAGGCGCAGTGCACGGGCGGGAAAAAGGGGCGTGGCATCCACCGTAACAGTCACGGCCGCCATCTTGAGTGCTTTTTGAGTTTCTCTGCCAAGGTTTTTTAGCAGGAGGTTCGTCTGTTAATTATGGATGGAACGGAATGAAAACTAAGGAAGGAAAAATGAACAACTGAAAGAACTGCAAGCAAAAGTCCACTGGAGAAAGGAGGAAAGGACTGGGGGTTTCCCCCCCCTTTTTTTTTAAACTGCAAGAAGAGAAAACTAACACGGCAATTTCATTTCGCATGAGTCATCAAGACCTATCCAGCGGGAGCCTTCTAAGAAGGCTTAAGCATCATAATTAAAATTACAGATTTAAAAGCAATTGCACTGAGCCGCCGTTCCTAAGGGGGCAAAAAAACCCACCTACCCCTTTTCTCATGGTAAATTAAACACTGCTGGGTGGTGGGAATAGTGGAGGGGGGGAAAAAGAGTGTGTTAGTGTCTCTGAGCGTGAAAGAAGGAGAACACGCTTAGCTAAACTCCGATATAAAATCTGTTTCTCCACTTAGACAGCACTTAGGTTGCCCTCTTATAAATAAATGTCCAGGGAAATGCTCCAAATTACATTGGTTTTCGGTTGGGGCGGGGTGAAGAGGGATAAACAACATATTCTTTCGGTCCTTTAAAAAACAGTTCTACGAAACTCCTGTAGGAATTGCGCTCCTTGTGAAATTCCCACTGATCTACAAAGAGGAGAGAGGTCAAATGACCCCTGAAAAGCCACAAGACGGGACTGGCTGAAGACTGAAGGGGCTTTAAAAACCAGCGATGTGGTCAACCAAGTCGAGATGGGGGACCGTTACGGTGGGATCCAAGACCCACCCACCTTGATTTGGTGGACCACGCTCTGGGGACTTTCCCCCCCACCCTGCCAGCTCACAAAAAAAAAAAAAAAAAAAAAAGCCAGCCGAAGGACAAGCGCTACAGTTTTGCAAAATTTGACACCTCCTTTCGAAATGGATTGACGATTCAAGTAACAGGCTAAAAAACGACCGCTTCTCACTCCGAACTAGATATATATAAAGATAGTTGCTTCTGAACCGCTAGGCTTGCTGACACGCATTTGACAGAGGTGCTGCGGGAGGGAACAGCAGGTTAAAAACAAAATAATAAAAATCCCAAATTTGCAACGCTCCAGCGGGAAATCTGCCTCAGAGACCGTCCGCGGGAGGAGAACTTTCCTAACGGGGTTACAAGGCCTCACCTCGACGTGGTAGGGAATCAGAGGCCGGCCTAGCAGGGGAATTTGTCCCGAATTATGCCTTCTTTGGAAGAAGGGCGGGGCCTGCGGAATTTCTGGTCTCCTCCAAGTTGCAGAATTTCGGGAGCAGCTGTAGGACGCTGCTGGAGAAAGTGGCCCTCGTGCATGGGAAGAGTGATCTTCTTTGCAAGAGTCGGTCAAATCAAAGGTCCGATCCAAGGATGGGAGAGAGAGGTGGGGAAGAAACGTTGACGGGAAGAAACGAGGAAGAATTATCCTTAAGACTCCGGCGACACCCACCGGAAGTCGAGGGGGAAAAAAAAACTTGCAAAGTTGCGTCCTTTAAGGCCCAAAACTTTAGAAAGAGAACTAAAAAACAAGCAAGGAAAAAAACAACAACGATGTAGGCAGAAAAATGTTCGCTACTCTGCAGGTCTCAAGAGGTGGGCCTTTGGTTTCCGCGAGACCACCTGTTTTAGAAAAACTCAGCGATCGCCACCTGTTTCCAGCCTGGAAGTTCAGAAAAAGTGCAATCAGCAAACCCTCCCTCCCTCCCTCCCCCCCCCTCAACCCCCCCCCCCAAAAACATAACACAAGGGAACCCACACAATCCACTTGAAGAGACTGATGGTGGAGATTCCCCAAGCAGCTTTTTCGCAAAGGAGATGAATGGCTTTTAAACGCCACGAAGCCGAAGAAAGGAAAAAAATAATAACGAAAAATTCAAATTGACCCAGGTTGTCGGTTGTGATAGACACTGCCTTTCGCCCCCCCCACCCACCTTGTTCTTTTTCTCACCATCCCCATCTGGAGAAATCTCTCTTTCCTTCCAGCAAAAGAGCTCTATGGATCCAGATTACCTGGGGTCCAAACTGACAGTCACCCCATCGGCCTGAGGTTGGTTGGTTTTTTAAAAAAATAAATAAACGAGCACGCTCCTACTATAGCTCTGCTGCGGTAATTTCACATAAAATTGAGGTGTGTGTGTGTGTGTGTGTGTGGAGAAATAACAATGACTCCCCCCCCAAAAAAAAACGTGAGTTCCAGGCTGAAGTTCAAGAGAGGAGGGGAAGAAAAAAAAAACCCACCAAGGAAAGCTGTCAATTTTAATATTGCATCGATTCTACAAATGCACAAATTTCAACCAAAGGCAATTTGATTCTCTGGAAGGAAAAAAACAAAACCCACACGGCCTGGATGAAATAACAGAAGAAAAAAAAAGCTTTTTTCTTTTTCCTGAAATAATAATAATAATAAAAAAAGCGTAAGCAAGAACGGCTTAAGTTCCATAAACTTTCCAATTGTTAAAAAAAAAAAGAGAGAGAGAGAGAGAGAGAGAAAGAGAAAAAAAAAATGGGGGTGGAACTTGTCCAAATGAATAATTTGAGGGGGAAAAAAATAAGAGAAAAGAACGCCATGACTTTCAAAATAATAATTAAAAAAAAAAAACCAGAAGGCTGTTTTCCTGCCTGTTGATAAAAACCGCCTTGGAAATCCCCCCCACCCCAAAAAAAGCATTTTTCTTCGTTAAAAATACCTGGGCGAAAGGAGATTTTTTTTCTGGATTGTAGAGAAAGCCGTCGCCCTGAAAATTCTCTGGGCTCTACAATTGCGTGAAAGAACCTTTTCTCCCTAAAAGCCTCCCCCCACTTAAAATCCCCTGCTGCAAATTAAACCAGCAGGGCTTGTCTGCTAAAAATTTAAAATTCTGCTTTGAAGGATGTTCTGGCTTGGAATGTGCGTTGAGGGGGCCGGGACGCCTTCAAACGGCCGATTCGCCTTCCACCTCCGGCGCGGCGGTTTCCTTCCCGCGGCCGAGCTTGATCACCATGGGCTTCTCCTCGTTCCCGCCGCTGCTTTCGGCCGCGCCGGGTGGGGCCAGCTCCTTCTGCTCTTCCTTCGAACTCTCCCCAACATCTGGGTAAATCACCAAGAAGGTGGCCGTCAAGAAGCCCAAGAAAGAGCCCACGGACGCCACCACTGGAATGACCCGGACGGAGCCCACCGCATCCACCACTCCTCCCAAGGCGGAAGCTACCAGGATCTGGGAGATGTAGACCTGGCACGACAAGATGGCGCAGTCGATGCCAAAGCCTCGCTTGGAGTTGCCGGGGCTGTGATGGATGTACTGCGAGAAAGAGCAAACGAGAAAAAAACAGAGACCAAGGTAAAGGAGTTGCCACTGGTGCATCTGAGCAGGTTTTCGGATCCCTTGAAGGAACCAACAAGGGGGGGGGGTGTCTCAGAAGGGAATCTTTGTGGCTCAGGGTTGAACTGTGGACTCCTCTGAGCTAGCGGACATTCCATGACCCAACTAGGTAACGCCATCAGTGCTAGAAGGGAGTGGGGCTTGCAGGGTGGAGGAGGGCTGTGGGGTCCTTGGTGCTCTCTGAGCTTGGTGGGTTTTCACGCAGATGTTTCACGGCTCAAACTAGGTAACGTCATCAGTGCTAGAAGGGAGTGGGGTTTACACGGAGGAGGAGGAGGAGGAGGAGGAGGAAGAGGAGGAGGATGACTATGGAGTCCTTAATGCTCTCTGAGCTTGGTGGTTTTCTTGCAGATGTTTCACGACCCACCTAGGTAACATCATCAGTGCTAGAAGGGAGTGGGGTTTGCAGAGAGGAGGAGGAGGAGGAGGAGGAGGAGGAGGAGGGGGNAGGAGGAGGAGGAGGAGGAGGAGGAAGAGGAGGAGGATGACTATGGAGTCCTTAATGCTCTCTGAGCTTGGTGGTTTTCTTGCAGATGTTTCACGACCCACCTAGGTAACATCATCAGTGCTAGAAGGGAGTGGGGTTTGCAGAGAGGAGGAGGAGGAGGAGGAGGAGGAGGAGGAGGAGGAGGAGGAGGAGGAGACCTGTGGGATCCTTGGTGCTCTCTGAGCTTGGTGGTTTTCTTGCAGACATTTCGCTACCCAACTAGATAATGTCATCAATGCTACAAGAGACTGGGGTTTGCTCTCTGATTATATCCAAGTGGGTTACCAACCACTAAGAACCTACCAACTCCGACAGGGCCATCCCCTACTATATAAAAAGAGAGCAAACACCACATTCCCTTCTAGCATGGAACCTGGTTCAGGGCTGGGTGCAGCTGCTGTCAAGGCCCAAATGGTGGCCTTAAGGAGACACTCCCCCCCCCGTCACCTCCTGCATCCCTCGGCCTCTCTCAGAGACAACCCTGATCGTACCTGTGGATCCCCAGGTGATCTCTGAGCTGGGTGGTTTCCTTGCAGACATTTCATTACCCAGCTAAATATCACCATCAGGGTTATACGTGGCAGGAGTGTCCTTGGGGATTCCTTGTTTAAACTATTGTCTACTGTTAGCTTGGGGCGACCTGTTCTCGTCCAGCCAAAATGTTCTTGGATCTACCTGGACTTTTACGAAAACCTGCCACAAGGCTTCTTGGGCAGGCATGTATCTGGCAAGGAGGAGGTGTCTGGGCCAAAACTTGAGCAGAAGCTCCTCGTGGCAAAGATGGAGCAGCCTTTGTCAGACCAACCAAGATGGACTGGATAAATTGGGACGCTTAGGAGAGTTCGTTGAGATGGAACCTTAGAAAAGGGTTGAGTGGTGGAATCTGCTACGCATTTAATTCCTTGCTGATATAAGACAGAACGGATGTCATTTCACATCAGGAGGAGAGATACAAGGGGCCTACAGGTCAATGCTGGAGCACATGGTTTACTAACCGAAACCTGAAACCTGTTTAGAACACAGAACACAGAATCATAGGGACCTCGGAGGTCTTCTAGTCCAACCCTAAACCAGGGGTAGGCAACCTTGGCTCGTTTATGACTCGTGGACTTCAACTCCCAGAATTCCTGAGCCAGCCATGCTGAGGGGAAAGGGAGAGGTTTCCAAGCTGAGCCATGCTGGCTGAGGAATTCTGGGAGTTGAAGTCCACGAGTCACAAAAGAGCCAAGGTGGCCTACCCCTGCTCTATACCCATCCCAATCAAATAGTTGTCCAGTCTATTTTTTGGAAAACTTCCAGTGATGGAGCACTCATAACTCCAGGAGACTAGCTGCTTCCACTGATTAATGGTTCTCATGAAATTTCTCCTGACTTCTACTCATGCTGGCTGGGGAACTCTGGGAGTTGAAGTCCCTCAAGTCTTAAGGGTGCCAAAGTTGGACATTCCTGGTTTAGTGGCATTGTGCAAATCCAAAAATGGGCGGACACAATATCAGATTGGGCTGGTTGTCCGAGTCCAGAGAGGACAGCCAAGGAGAAGTTCTTTAGAAGGTCTCAGGCCAAGGTGGGGGAGGACTTCTCCTTCCCCAATACACACGATTTGTGCCTAACGGTATGGATGGATAGGTGAGGGACCCCACAGCTCTAGGAAGAGGCGTCCACAGTTCACCCTCCAACCTTGAAGGCAAGAGATGATCTGCTACTTTGACTGGAAGCACCTCTATCAAATCCTGGAGAACCAAGACATTCCCATCTCTGATCTAACTGGTGTCCTTCAACCCCTGGTGTTCTTCAACCAGTCGTAAGGCCACATACCTCCTTGATGTCGTGGTACTGTCCCAGAAGTGCATACGGGCAATAGGAGATACTCATGGAGACAATTCCCATGGTGCTGATCATGATCATGGCAACGTAGACGTTGGGAAATATGGCCATCACTGCGGTGCCGATGGAGAATCCGAGGGTGCCCAAGATGTAGATGATTCGTATGCTCAAGTCATAATTGTCCAAGTATTTCTGGAGTAAAGCTGGAAAAGGATGAGCACAAGTCACAGTTACACCACATTCTGAACATCTACAC